TGCGGTCCCGGGCCAGACACCGTCACGGGCCTTGGGTCTGCAGGTTGCGGTCACGGGCCAGAGGGAAGGGCCGCGGGCGAAGGGGCGCGGCCTCATGGGCTCTCCGGGAGGGCCACTCACTCTGAGCAGGCGTACTGTGGTGAAGACGCTGAGGGAATTCTGGACAGCTTCTATGATTTTTCTGTTTCTGAATGAGCGATGCTAACCGTATCTATAGGAATTCCGAAGTCTCCTTTCCCATATTTATTTGAGTCATTACGAGGGGCTGTCTTAAAGCAAACTCAAGTAATGGGACGGGGGGGGGGGGGGGGGGGAGGTCAACGTACAACTCTGGCTAAGCCAAACCAAGAGTAAATCCTACCAACATCTGTCTAAGCCTCGAGGAAAGAAAAGAAATACTTTGGAGGGAAGATACCATGAAGTCGCTTTTAAAAACTGCTGTCACGTTCGATGAGGGAACCGTAACAGAAACCATTCACTGGTCTAGGGTCGCTTTACAAACGCCTCCAAGTTCTTGTTCCTGCTGCTCAGTCTCTTCCTCTGCCGGAAACAGTGGGGGGGGGGGGAGGACGGACAAGGAGACCCTGGCCGGGCGCCCAGCTTTCAAAACTGGGCCCAAGCACCGCCTGGCCTCGCCCCGCCTCCATGAAGCTGCTGAGGGCCCCTGCCCCTCCTACGCTGCTCCCCAGGCCCAGCCCAGCTCCCCATCACTCTTCCTTTCTCTGTACCCCCATCTTTCTCCTGACAGAGGGTGCTGCAGACATGGGCTGAATACATGTCTCCGTTATTCCATAACAATGAGCTCAACCGGTGTTTCCATTACGAGACTGATGGGACATGGTGGAAAAGCATCGAGATGGCGTGGCGGTGGTGCCGGTGGTGCAGCACGCGGCAGGTGCCAGGTGGGTACGTTCAGTTCAGAGGCGCCTGCGTCAGAGGGACGACAGGGCCAGGGACGAGCTCGGCAAGTGGGCCCCTGTCCTGTCGGTCCTCTTAAAGGGAGAAGCCATTCACAGGACGTGGGTTACACCCTAACTTTAAAATGATCCAACTGTAATTCTTAAAGTTCTGTCACGTGGCCAGTGAGTCGGTTTCCTGTGCCAATGTTAAGCCCAAGCGTGCAGGGTCTCTGATGTCCAAAGAGTCAAACCATTTCCGACAGTCCCGCAACCGAGATACAGAAAGGCGCCACAAATGGGTCAGCTACTGTCCAAGCAGAGTCACAGCAGCTCTTTTCTACCTGAATGTTACAATGCTAGGCCCTCCAGACACCGTAACCGCTATGCCTGAACACGCATTCCTCCCTTTTGCAGAACGTGGCCCACCTCGGGGAGGAGGTATGACAGAGCACTTGGAAACGCTGCCCGCCCTGGGATCCAGGCTGTCACCAGCTGGGAGGTGGTGCTCAGTTTCCTCACTGGCATCATGGCAGGGACACTGCTTGGCTGTCAAAACTCTACCCTGGGGCTTCCCAAGTAGCCCCAGGGTGACCCAGGACCGGAGCAGGTAACTGTGTGAACAAACCCGTTTTGCTTCACCAATAGCCTCGATGGAAGGACAGGCTGCAGCGAGCGGCAGCCTCCGCCCGCCAAGCGGACGGGTCTGTGCTGCCGGCCCGCAGGTAGGCAAAGTCTGCACGCCTGAGGCGCAAACCTGCACCCGCCAACAGGGCGAGGTGGCAGAGAGGACACCCTCACGCAGCCAGGCAAGACCAGCAGGGCTGCGCACCCTGCCCCCCCACACTGCTTGTTGCTTCACCACATTTAAAACCACAGGAAACACCCCAGCACCTCCGCTAGGGCAACATCTCAGAAGAGGCAAAGTGCTAACTTTTTATGGAACAGTGAACGTTGAACAAGATGTATATGACTTCCTGGCACTGCCTCTCCCAATTCTTACTGAAAATCTCCAAGTGAGAGAAGAGTGACGAGAATACAAAATTGTGAAAATGGGACCTGCACACTGTTGGTAGCTCGTAAAACAGAGGTGCTGTGGAAGAGTTTGGTGCTCTTTAAAAAGTTAAAAAGGAAGTTACCATGTCACCCAGCTCCTTAATATATTCCCAAAAGAAATGTAAACATGTTCACACCAAAACTTGTACTAGAATGTTCCTATTAGTAGTATTCGTAACAGCCAAAAAGTGAAAGCCACGCAAATGTCCATCCAGAGGAAGGGGTCAGTAAATGCAGTCTATCCTAGCAATGGAATATTACTCAGTCATAAAAAAGCGTGCAGGCCTGACAAGAGCACGGACGCTGAAGTCGACAGTGCTAAGAGAAAGGATGCACTGGCCGCAAGCCACCGGCACGGTGTGACGCCTTTACAGGAATGTCTGGCAACAGAAAGACCTGTGGGACCAGCGGCTGAGAGGGAGGCAGGATGGGCATTGACAGCTAATGGGGTAGCACTTATTTTGGGGGTGATGAAAATATTCTCAAATTAGATGGTGATGTTGGGGGCACAACTCTGGGAACATATCAAAACTACACATTCTCCATGTTGACGAGGGTGAATTTTATGCTATTTCGATAAAGCTAAAGAACACACAACCAGAATACAAAGTAGATGCATGTAGGTTCCGCTAGGGTCACCAATTGTTTGTGTTTTGCCATTTGCCCTCTCATGCAGCAACAGTACACAGGAGTCCAGCAGGGAACACAATGGCGGGACCTCATGAAACCTGGCTACTGTGACACTAGACCCCCAAACAATTCAGTGGAGAATCTCCCCGCGTAAGCAAAACACATACACCACACCCAAGTCACTTAACACCCATCCAAGACAATATTTAATACAAGAGCTATATTCAATTTATCAGAAGTTACAACCTGTCAGGGGTTTTTATCCCATTTTTTTATGATGGCATTTTTGAAGAGTCCACAAGTTCGCAGAACATTCCTCAATTTGGATATGCCTGGCCGAGTCCTTATGGACTGATTTAGGTTAAATATTTTGCCTAAGAACACTACACAGCTGAGTGGCCCTCATCCGTCACCTGGTAGGCCGGCCTCTGAGACACAAGGCCCCGGGGTCAGTCACGCAGAGAGCAGCGCATGCTGCATTCCTCCTTCACAGCTAACCTGCGTGGTAGCCCCATATGATTCTGTGTAAATATCAGGATCCCCCAAGTCTGGTGTCCAAAGATTTCAGCCTCCATTCGTGGTCCCTACCTGTCTTCCATCCCTCCCGGGCTGCTCTGCAAGTGTGTGAACCAACCACAGCTCTCGTTTTTATTCCGCAGAGCGTGAGAGCGACTCTGGCCACACATGGGCACCTCTGCCATCTCTGGCGGTGGGGCCAAGGGAGTTTGCCCAGGGCGGGCGGAGGGTGAAGATCCCCAGTTAGAGGAACTGGGCAACACCCTCATTTTGCAAAATAAGTAAACTGAGGCCCCAGGAGGCGACGTGAATGTTCAGGGGCACAAAGGTCGTGGAAGAGAATCACAGTTTTCATTTCTTTCGACTTGCACTTTAACAGGTTATTCCTGCCGCACACGATGCCAAGAATAGCCCCCGAAAAATGAGTCGCTTCGTGGGGGCTGGAGCTGACCACGTTTAAGCGGCCCGATTCGGCTCTCCGGGAGAAGGTGCCTCCCGCGCCAGACTTTCGCAGCCCCCACGGCAGGAGGGAGCCCCGGGCAAGGTCTCCGGCTTCCTTGCCCTAGGGGCTCGCGGCGACCGCTCGAGCGAGCGCGGGGTCCGAGACGCGCCGGCAGCCCCCGGGGCCTGGCGGTCAGCGCCCCCAAACGGACGTGGAGGCTCTCGGCCGGGGCCACCTGGCGGGGCCGCACCTGAGGGGGGTCAGAGGGTGTAGGTGTAAGAATCTGGCTGGGCCGCACCCGGAGGGGGAGGCGGAGGTACCAGGCGGGGCCGCCCCTGGCGGAAGAGGTAACCTGGCCGGGAAGCTGGGGGACAGGCAGGGGGATCCAGGCGGCGCGCCCCCGCCGGCCCCGCCGAGGAACACCCAGAAGTGCACGGGACTGCGGTACCGGGCGCCGCGGCGCGCGCACCCCCACTTACCCCGGCGTGGTACACCTTGTTGGCTCTTTTAATCTTAATGTCCAGGGAGGTCCCCATCGCCACACCGCGCCCCGCGCCACTTCCTGCCGCGCGTGACCCAAGGGGAAGGAAGGCCCCGCCCCTCCGGGCCTGGCCCCGCCCCGCCCCTCGCCGCGGGCCGTTGCGTCACGTGACCTCGCCCGCCCGCATAGCCCCGCCTACGTCCTTCCGGCGCAGGGGCGGACCTTAGCTCGGGCCGAGGAGCTGTCAGTCGTCCCGCCTTTTCCGGGCGCGAGGGGGAAGCCCGACCGCTCCACTCCTTCCGATAAGGCTGTGGATGCGGCTCACGGGCGGGCGGGGAGTCGGCTCTCCCGGCGTGCCCCGCGGCGGAGGCGGCGCCCAGGCGGCGTCGCAGC